GCAAGTGCAACACCCTGCCTCAACTTCCGCCATTAGAAAACGATTTGTGGTGAGTAATCGACGTATTCCTTTGATATGAATCCAAATGAAAAAAATGGTACTGAGGGGAAAACCACCTTTGATTTATACCTTCAACATAACGCGGAAGCTTTGAAGGGCATAGCAATAGAGGAACACTGGTAGAATTGTGATCATCAAAAACTTTTTTTATCGATGTAACGGGGTCATAGCTTTTTTTCCTTGTCAGGTTTTCATGCTTTGTTGAAGGGAGGAAGGCGGATGAACTGTGATATCCCATCCGGGCCGCTCCATGAAAAAATAAGCGTCTATTTTGCTGCTGAATTTCCCAATGTAGGTTTAATTTCACTTTTGGTAAAATGTCAGTATGTATTTTATGTTCTGGAACGTCCTATTAGGTCTAATATGGATCAACTCATTTGCTGTAAGCACACATTTCCCCTCATTTACTCAAGAAAGGTAAGTGAGAAGTACGTGCCTCTCTTCAGTATTTCCTGACAAGTCCGCTCTATTGTTTGTTATTATTTCCAAACACAATGCGATAGCTGTACGGAAATTTACTGTGCGAAATATTTTAATCCTGAATGATACTCTTCGTTAACTGGTAAAACAACTTAATTTGAAAGGGAAGTTGAAGGAATCGAATCAAATAACATTTTTGTGCTGGAGGCGGGTAATCACAAACGTCGTATGCTTTTCATGTTTGCTTCAGGGAAAAATTGACTGTTCACAGCGTATGGTAACGACCATATTTTATTTCTTGGATATGTACTCCTAAACACCATTCATTGTCTAGTCTGTGGACTATGCAAGAAAGGTTTGTTATCCACGGTCAAGTTAATCAACCGATGAATCGATCTCTTAATAAAGTGAAAATTTGGTTTGTGCCTCTTGCTTGATTTTTGCTGCACGAATAAACGGTTCATCCCCGTGATATATTGCCCGCAAGCAATTCAATTGGCGAGCTTGATCCCTAAGAAAGAAGCAGCATGGTCCGCGCTTTCTCTTTCTGTAATGTGTTATCGGGCTCATAAAAGCCAGGGATAACACTGCGAATTCAATTTATTCATTTGCGTTCTTAATGATCCATGAATACTGAGACTCTTCTTACTTTCAAAAGAAGCTAACAATATGCATAGAGTAACAAACTTGTCTTTAAAGAAAATCGGTAAAGTCCACGAAATCTCTAACTCTGGTTCACGCCGCCCAAAGCGCGGCGAACGTGAGAAGCGTTCTTTACACCGAACAATGATGTCATAATTTCCAATGATTTCTAAAGGAAATGTCACGTACTACTCGACTTCGATGCAGAACTTCCGTTCTTTTCCTTATAAAACAAAATGCATCTATCACTTTCTAAATTTATTTTTATTTTGGAAAAACGTGGTGCGAAAGCAGATAAAGGTCTCTTTCCTTTAAATCACGTTTGGTGCTTCTTGTGTTTGAATGGAGCAGATAAACGCTTAAAAGAACGTGGGAAAAACTTAAATCGCTAGATACACAACTACTCACTTGCTAAACCTAACCTAACCTAGATAACGTGGACAACTTTACAGATATATTTATACTAGACTGCTAGCTACATAAAATTACGTACTTTCCAATCACCACAGTGCTGTGAAAAGGTTAGTTGAAAAGCCGCATGACAAAAGTAAAAAATGATAACCTTCCGTATATTTTTAAGGTAGAGATTCCACTCGGAATCACCATGTCCATGTCATGGGGAGCGGATAATGGACTTTAAAACTTCCGGTGTGAGCTAAAAATAATTATTTTGTCGAGCGCTGAAGCGCAACATTGTCATTTGGCACGTGCACCGAAAGCATATAAACCAGAGGAGTCGGACTCATCAGTTAATTTTTAGCAAGACTAGCACTACTGTTGAAGTCACTTTCGCTCCATCATGGGCAAATTCAAATCAGAACTCGAACAAGTTAAGAAATCAGACCAATCAAAGGTGGGTAGAGTTTTTTAACTTTAGTTTGATTGATATTATAGATGATTATGTTGTTGGTAAATGATAAAGTTTCCTACAGAGCACCCGTTTTTCTCCATGGAATATTGGATTTTCGAAGGTAGTGAATGTTTGTGCTAGGATTACTTTATTTCTTGCCGTTATTGCCCTGCACAAGGTGACATAAAAATAGCCACCACGCGATGTTTGAAGTCTCTGAGGCAGAAACTCAAAGCAAACAAATAACAAGTCGGCAGTATACGTTTTCCTTGCGGCGAATAATCGTTAAAAAAAGGAATTCCTCCCACGAATTATTGCCAATGTGGAAATGTCCTTTACAGCATATTTCCCTCAACTTCGGCAATTGCCTACCATACTCATGTTGGTTTGTTCGTTTGGTTCTTGCATGTAAAGAAACCGAACACATATGTCGGAAAAGCGATTACTACTTTCCGTGTCCTTCCTTCTGATTGGATTGTTCCTATCTATCATCCAATCAGAGACTAGCCGATAGCGTGACAGTTGCAAGCAACCAGTATCAACGAAGATATGTCATCGAGAGGGAGAAAATACATTTTTGTACGTGTGAAATCTTAGAAAACGTGTAAGTTCGCCGTTTTCGATTGAACAGGAAAATAACAAAAAAGCATCGGAAAAAAGGCCTTTATTTTTTGTACAAATCGTTTGTCTAAGAATATTCGGATAACTGCAACCTACGTCCATCAGCTGCATCTTACATACCTTAATCATGATCGTGATCATGATTTGGATCGCTTTAAGTTTCCACAATCAAAAACGGATTAAAACAATTATGCTTGCAAACTTAAAAATATAATATAGTTTCAAAGCCGACGTTTCGAGCGTTAGCCCTTCGTCAGAGCGAATGATGAAGGGCTAACGCTCGAAACGTCGGTTTTGAAACTCTTTACGGTGGCCAATTTACATTATCAACTCAGTCCATAAAACCAAAATTACCTCGTTACTCTCACCGACGCAGCACTACAGTTTCTTTAGTGAGGTAAACGTGACTCGAACGATGTTGCAACGTGACGGTCTTCTCTTCAGGTGTCAGTGATAGCAAATTCAGGATGGAATGAAAGTTTCGAGAACGAATAGTTCTGCTGTTATTTGATTAAAACAAAACTACCAAGCGGTCAGTTTGTTGACGTTGCGATTCAAAAACGTGTTAGCTTCACTCGTGAATATAAGGAAGCTGACACCTTCGATGTTAAATCCTGGTTCATCTGTCACTTTTATCTGCTTGTTTATTTTGACAAAGGAAATAGTACGTGTGCGTGCGTGATGTTTCAAACTACACAACTTCCTGTTTTGCTGTTACTAATTAAAAATGTTCCAGAGAAAGCTTTTATTCGAGAAGGAAGTGGGAATATCTCGATGAACGCGATGTGCAGCAACAAAATATTCGGATGTATAGAAGGACCGAAAAAAGGATGACACAAAGCGATGAAAATAATTTAAGCAAAGGATTCGATGAGAGGGCGAACGTTGAAGAAGACTTTGATGATTTTAGGTATTTGTTTCGAACGTTAGCCCTTTTTGAGAGCGAATGATTCGCTCTCACAAAGGGCTAACGCTCGAAACGTCGGCTTTGAAACTCTTTACGGTGGCCAATTTACATTATCAACTCAGTCTATAAAACCAAAATTACCTCGTTACTCTCACCGACGCAGCACTACAGTTTCTTTAGAAACTTACCCCCGCCCCCCTTAAATTCTAATACTCGAGGTAAACGTGACTCAAACGATTGTGCGACGTGACGTTCTTCCCTTCAGGTGTCAGTGATAATAAATTCAGGATGGAATGAAAGTTTCGAGAACGAATAGTTCTGCTATTATTTGATAAAAAAAAAAAAAGAAAACTACCAAGCGGTGAGTTTGTTTACGTTACGCGATTCAGAAACGTGTTGGCTTCACTCGTGAATATAAGGAAGTTGACACCTTCGATGTTAAATTCTGGTTTATCTGACACTTTTATCTGCTTGTTTGTTTTGACAAAGGAAATAGTACTTGTGCGTACGTGATGTTTCAAACTACACAACAACCTGTTTTGCTATTACTAATTAAAAATGTTCTAGAGAAAGCTTTTATTCGAGAAGGAAGTGGGAATATCTCGATGAACGCGATGTGCAGCAACAAAATATTCGAAGTTAGAGAAGAACCGAAAAAAGGATGACACAAAGCGAAGAAAATAATTTAAGCAAAGGATTCGATGAGAGGGCGAACGTTGAGGAAGACTTCGATGATTTTAGGTATTTGTACGGTAAAATTCTGGTAGTCAGAGGATTCAGAGCTCGATAGGGAACTGATCGAATAGTAATTCTTAATTTCGCTCGGAAACAATTCTCGTCTTTTCGGTCAAGGTTTACGTAATGATGAAGTATGATGGTTATAACAACACCAAGACAGCACCACAGTTTCTTTAGATACTTATCCCATCTAAGGTTTTGCCTCTCATTTTGGGTCGTACAGCGAACTCGAGGTACTTCTGCGACTAAAACTTTGAGGTAAAGCATCAAATAGTACATTGATTGATAAATTGCTGTCAACCGCTGATCAGACCCAAAGGGTGGCTGGCTCATGGCTATGCCATAAATAAGATTTACACGTGTCGTAAAAACTATGTAGCAAGCTGTGTGCATTATATGCTATTTGTCTTTCCATTTCTTTCTGTGGCAAGTTCATGGTATTCCTTGGATTTATTCTTTTTCTTTGTAATCCTTTGTCATCTGTAATACAGTGGTATTGTTTAATGCCAGAAAAAGAAATTTAAAAAATAGCAAAAAACACGATGAGAGAGCCGTTGGCTAGATCATGTCTTGCCATGTTTGATGCACCCTGCACAATCAGACCTGCTGAAAATCTTCAGGTCGAGGGGAAGAGCGTTCCAGGAAATGTTTCAAATATTTTGGGACTGGTAGACAACTCTCTTCCAGTAAATGCTTCAAACACCCATATCAAAATTCACTTCTCGATGTGTGTTTTTTTCTAGACCCTGCTATCCACGCCGGTTTCTTCCATGTCATCTGTGGTCCTCACTCTGCAAATGGTACTTGCGTTTTTTGGAACGCTTCTTTGGCTGGTATGGTACAGGGATCGCCAAACATCCGCTGATAACAATCCAGTTGTGTCTCATACTTGTCAGCGTCTGTTCTGTGGGCTTTGTTTGGTTCAATTCAGAAAACAGAACCGTAAAACTGTTCATCCCTCAAAACAGCAAGGCAATAGACGACTTGGAGACTGCCGAGAGATACTTCCGAGTCGACTTTCGAGAGGAAATCATCCTACTGGTGGCCTCTCCCAGTAATCCTAATCCTCTTTCCCCGATGTGTTTGAAACAGGCCTTCAGAGCTCACGATGCAGTCATGGAGCTGAAATCGTTTTCAGACCTCTGTGTCACGTTGTCGGGAAACAAATCCAGGTCAACAAACGGATGTGCGATGATTAATCCACTAGAATTTTGCAGTTCAATGAAAGCAACTTGAACGGAAAGGACTTACATGATGTCCAACGGGAACTGAGCAAATCCTACAACGACACAAGTTTACTCATGCGTAATGGACGCCCATTCTGGTTGAATTTCAACCGAATGTTTGGCAAGGCCACTCGAAAACATGGAAGCATAACCGACGCCAAAGCTTTGCAAATGATTTATCTCCTTCGTGATCCGAGGGACGATGATGAGAGTGACAAGATTCTCAAATGGGAGAAGGCCTTCATTGACAAACTAGGCTCGCTAGTGGACAAACTTTCGTGCTTCGATGTCCATTATTCAAGTGAAAGGAGCCTGGATGATGCTATAAGTGCAAGTACCGGGTCTGATGTTAAACTGGTGTCAATCACATTCACCTGCATGATCTCTTTTTTGCTTGCTTCATGCTGGGCAAGTACCTTAATCCGTTGACTGGTCATGCTTTACTTGCTAATGGAGGGTCTTCGCAGTTGCCCTTGGGATTTTGTCTGGGCTCGGCCTTGGTATGTGGCTCCGTGTACCTTTTGTTAGTTTGGTGGGGGTGCTACCTTTCTTGGTTCTTGGAATCGGCATCGATGACATGTTCATCATGGTCGACGAACTTGATCGGCAGCCACGTGACCTGTCGACAACCGGAAAGATCAAAGCGGTTATGAAGCATTCTGGTGCAACAGTTACTATGACAACTATGACTGATTTGGTTGCGTTTGCGGTCAGCACGTCTACCTCATTTCCCGCCATTAGGTAAGATACTTCAATTGATAGCCAGTGCTTCTCCATCTTGGGAAGATGAAGACAATAACATCAGGTTTTAAGTAATGGCGTAATTGTTTAAAGGATCCGGATTTATCAAGTGACCTCTATTGATCTCTTTTAAAACCTCAACTGCAAACTATTGAAGTGAGATGTCGAGCTGTGACAGGAGCCAATGAATTGATTTTCTGATAAAAATGGTCACAGTTTCTTGGGATATCTTTTTTTCCCTTGTATGACTGAGCTGTAAGCAGAAATGGTGGCGTGAAATGTCACTTAATTGGCTTCCAAGTTCTAAAATTTCTTCAAATGTTGTAGAGTATTTCAGTGAAATCGTCTATATTAAAACTTAGTTACTTTCTTTTCTCAGGTATTTCTGTGTTTATGCTGCCTTGACAGTGACGTTCTCCTTCTTGATGGTTGTCACATTCTTTGTGGCCCTTATGACATACGACGTTAGACGAATTAAATCTGGCCGTCGAGATTTCCTCCCATTCTGCCTGGCACCACGGCCAAAAGAGGGTAAACCAGCATGGGATGAGCCTCTCCCCCAAACTTCAAATAAAGTTATGAAATACTGGGGCACATTATTGACCCTTCCAATTACAAAAGTTCTGGTTATACTCTTCTCTCTGTCACTGCTTGGTGCTGGGATATATGGAGTCACTCAGGTGGATGAGTCATTTGATAGACGTGTATTGGCCAGAGATGATTCCTACTTGAGGCAGTTTTTGACAGCTCAAGGAAAGTACTTTGAGCTGTCCATTGGAGTGAGTATCGTGCAGACTGGTGAGGTTGATTACCAATTGAGGTCCACGCAGAGCGACATTAAAGAATTAACGAACGTATTCAAGGAAAATGAATATTACAAGAACCAATCACTATCCTGGATGGATGCATTTGCCCAGTATGCTAAGAAGTCGAAGAGAAACATTACTGGCTCAGGTTTTCTACGAGAATTGAAAACATTCCTTCGTATTCCCGAGTTCTCGTATTTCACACAGGACGTGAAGTTATCCGAGGATGAGACCAAAATAGAAGCTTCTCGCGTAGTAGGCTATATGAAGGATTCGGGTAGCTCCACCTTCCAGAAAAACGCTATGCTCACACTCCGTGAAGACATATCAAAGAAGTCCAAACTGAATGCCTTTCCAATCACTCGATCCTTTATATTCTTTGAACAATACGCAATTACGTCACACGAGACCCTGAGAAACCTGATAATCGCAGGCTTAACGGTGGTAATTGTCACAAGCCCCTTTTTGATGGATTTTACTGTGACGTTCGTGGTGGTGCTTAACTTCGCAGCGCTGGTTTGCGAGTTATTTGGTTTGATGGTAATCTGGGATGTGTCTCTGAACTCTGTTTCCATGATTAACCTGGTAATGGCCATCGGATTTGCAGTTGACTACAGTGCCCACATTGCCCATGCTTACATTACGTCAAGCAAAGTCACAGCCGATGAGCGAGTTGTGGATGCTCTGAGCACGTTGGGTGCAAGTGTTTTCATGGGAGGTACGTCAGAAGCTAAATTAATTGTTGCAAAACATGGCTGAGAAAAGTAAGCATTTATAAACATATTGACATTCTTGTGTTCCTGGAGTGTATAACAAGTTTAAAAGTCTGTGGCCCTGTTTCAGTGAGAGGTATTAGAAGAAAATTTGGATCTATTGAGTTCATAATGGAAATTGGCCATCATATATAAATTATGGAGCTGATGTTTTGAGCCAATCTTTTCCAACGAAGGGCTAACGCTCAAAACATCAGCTCTATAATCTCTTTACAGTGTCTAATGGTCTTTATCAACTCAGTTGATAAAATAAAAATTTCTCGCATGTGCCGGGGTTGATTAAAAAATCCATCCTTAGTTTTATTCAAGGAACCACTTTAAGTGAGATTAATTTCTGCTTTTAGTAACTTCCATCACTTAAGGTTTTAGTGTTATGCACGTCGCAGCATCCGCTGATCTTTTCTTCTTAATATGTTTTAGGAGTCAGTACGTTCCTTGGTATGGTTGTACTTGCATTTGCTGCATCCGAGATATTTCGAATTTTCTTCAGAATGTTCTTTGGCATCGTCATGCTCGGGCTCCTTCATGGCTTGTGCATCATGCCTGTTTATCTGTCTTTGCTGTGCTGGAGACCCGCTCTTATAAGACGTCCCTCAGTATTGGACACAAGTGAAAAACTTGGAAGCACAGACACGACAGATAATATTACCAACACCAATGGTTTCTTGGAAGCGGTGAAATCTTCCGGGGATACATCATTTCAGCCACCACAAAACTCAAACTCAAAAAAAGAAGCCGACATCTCACTCAATGAAAAACCAGCCAACCAGCAGATACAGACAAATGAAGCTGAGAAAGGAATTCAAAACATGGGGATCGATGAGGATGACGACGACGTTGAGACGGTGGAGGTAGAAGGCGACGTTAAAAATGCAGCTAGACTAGAATTTGAAGTAGCGCTTTAACGAAATACCCAGATTTCAAATTTAATCAGCTCAAAAAGAAAATAATAGCACCTTTTCAGAGATTAATAGTTTCATTTTACAAGCGAAGCTTTTTGTGTCTTGCATTAGAAAGTCTTTAAAATTGGAAAAAACATTCTGGGTCAGCCTAACTGAAATCAAGAAAATCAAACCTGTTGAGAACTTACGACCGTCCAAATATTGCAAATTCGATGTTCAATCTTGCCTCCAAACAAGAAAGATACATAGTGAGAGGAGGCTACACACTCAGAACTTTTTCTATCCAAAGAATAGTGCACTTGTGGATGTGGTTTCCATATTTTACATGTATGAATATTTTGGTTACGATTGTAGATGTGTCTTGTAAACAGAATAAAGAACTAATTTATCGCTTGAAATAACATAATAAACTTTTAGATGAGTGTCATTTATCAGTTTTGAGTTTAAGTTAAAGCAAAACATTTCTTGTTATTCAAAAACAAGTGGGCTTTTCACAGTAATCCTTAGATGCTTTCATTAAGTTAGCAATAGTAGGCTCTTTCTATTTATTCTATTTCTATTTAGTAAATTCATTTCTGGTTTCAAAGAGATTTAAAAAAACTACATAGGTTCACTCACAAAGGAAAGAAACTATGTGCTAAAAAGACTTCAGTATACAGCTGTTTGTGTTAAGAATTGTTGCAGTGCAAAGTGAAAAGTGCCAGGCATTAATTAGCCAATTGAAAGAACGTTATTCTTTATCAAAAATGCCCCTTTCACCCCAAACATATATTGCTTATAATTAATACTTTTCTTGATAGAGAGTTAAGATTATTTTGTATCAAAAAATGTACATATTTACATGTAATGCTATGAAATAGCTTTAAGATACTTATTACAGGTGTACTGATAATAAACAACAATGATTAGTCTCTTGCTGGGTTTAAGTAACACTACCATCTAAACCCTTGGCCAAATTCATCCTTAGAAAAGCATGGAAAGAGCACATTTACAAATAAAATTCCTTAGTTTAAGGTTAGCCAAAGCTGACCTTGAGATTGTCCTCAACCGTCTAAATCAATGCAGTGGGTTTTTCTAACTTAGAAATTGAAACACAGGAGGCCTACTCTGGGACATTACATTATTAATTTTTGGGCTACTTTGGGCGACCTAAGAAAAATTGACAGTGATTTTATTCGACTCAAGTGTTAAACTGAGTGGAATGCAATTTGGGCTGAAACACCACTTTCTTACATCCATTTTGAAATCGCCCAAATACAGTACTTGGTCAGTTCAAATATTTTATTGATGCAGTACTGAGCCAGTCTGAAATTAAATTCATCCATTTTTTTTTTTGGGGGGGGGGGGAAAGAGTTTTGGAAACAAAAGTTGCAAAATTTGGCATGGTACTCTTTCATTTTCCTGCAATTTGATTGGTAACTTTAAACAAGCCTTGAAATCTGATTGGCGGTTTTGTTTTTACAGTAGCCTCCTCATTGGCTGGGAAAAAGATGTGATTTAAAGAAAAAATTGATGTGATTCATGAATAAATTCCATCAATTAGAGCCAATCAAATAACAGGGACCACCAGTGATTTCAAAATGGGTGTAATAAATGGAATAATCATTTTGGTAACTTTAGTATCCACACAAGTCACCATTGTCTAAAATATCCAGATTTCAAACCATTTTAACTAAAAATGCTTAGTCAGAATTACCACAATAGTTACTGTTTAATTACATATATGTATAAATAGTCAAAGCTAGTGTATAAATAACCAAGAAAAATCATGGGTTATATGCTTAGTGT